CCCCTAGGCTGTAATTTCTCACTTTCTGTCTGTCTCTTTCTGTCTATCTCACAAGCATATATGCCTTATAGCAAAAATATCTATCAAAAAGAAAAAAAATAATGTTTTGGGGTCAGCAGATGGCATAGTGGTTACTTTGCTGGACTCACACATGGCCAACCATGGTTCAAATCTCAAACCCAGTGACTCGAAACTCATGCCAGACATGTGTGCATGCATACCCAAGATGAAGGAGACTAGAAGAAAGGGGATTGTGGAATGGCATCTCCCCTGGGGGCTGATTTCTCACTTTTGCTCTCACCATTTCTGTCTCCGTCTCTCTCTCACTGGCAGGCACATATGCCGTAAGGCAAAAACCTCTTAAAAAAAAACAAACAAACAAAAAAAAAAAAGTTTTGCAAAAAAATTAAATGTTTAGAAGAATAAAACATTGAAGTGTTTATATAATAAAAAAAAATGTGAAAATAGCATAACTTCTGCATTAACTGAACCAAACTTGTGATTCATTCAGTTTGGATCCTTAAAGGGATTTTACAAAGTTGTAGACAGGGTTTAGGGAAGGCATCAATGGTATCATATATCTGGGGTCAGCTCATCCTGAAAGGGGAAAGGTTAGGCAATTACTAGTTCTGGGGAGCTGTGATGAGAGAACCGCAAGTCAGGGGTTGTGGTACTTAGTGGAGGGTCCCATTCAACCTGGGCCACCCAGAAAAGACAGAAACAGGAAGGACTCAAACCTCAGTCTTCTCTGCCAGTGTTTTTCTCTGATTAATTGAATCAGAAGCCACAGGCAAGAGAACCTGTTGATACAGTTCATATAGACTAGTGTATTGGAATTAGGTCAAGGTGAATATGGGATGAAAGCAGACTAGGGAAGACAGATAGGAGACATTCAGCACCATTGGGTTTTTAATTTTTTTCACATTTTTATTTTTTAGTATATTTAAGTACTTGTAAAGTCTACATTAAAAATTTGAAATGCTTTTGTACTTAGAAAATTATTTTCAAGTTCTAAGCTAAAAATTAAACTGGAATCAGGGAGAATGCTTCATTTCTATTGTAGCAGAGCCAATGAGATTACAAACACCAAAATTTAAGTAGTTTCAATAAAAATGGAAAGGACACACATAAATCTATTACAGGCATTTCCTTAAATAACCTAGAGACATACCTAATTAACCTAGAGAAACAAGTGTCCAACTATAATTTCATTTCAATTAGGTCATTGGAAAAATGCCCTCATTCAGTGTCCAACACTATTTTCCTTTTCTACCATCCTGCTGTTATTTTAGGTAATTTTATTGCTTTTCCCCCCCATAGGGTTTGGACACTTACCAGAGAAAGACAGTGAGAAATCATCCTCAAAGGGAGATGACTATGCCGCAGTCCATTCTCCTTCTGGCTTGTGAGCATGCATGCACATGTGCCCAGCATAATTTTCAAGCTACTGAATCCAGGACTTGAACCATAGTTGGCCATGCAGGAGTCCTGTGCCTTAACCACTACACCACCTGCTGGCCCTATCCTGCTATTCTTTACAACATATTACAAAGTGCTTACTCAAAACTTACTATCAAAGAGAAAACAAACCATAATTATTCCACATATGCAAATTATGATAAATGTTTCAGGTGATTGTGAGGTGATGTTGCGGGAAAACAGACACCGAGGAATGAAAAACAGCACTCAGGAGAGAAAGGAAAACTCTTTATTATGTCAGCAGGCATGGAGGAGTTACTACTCTAATCTCTGGCCTCGGCTGAGAGTTGGACACAGTCTTTCATGGGTGAATTGAAGAAGGGAGGTTTCAGCACGCTTATCAGGAAAGTGGCTCAGTGTCTGCCCTAATGCAGAACAGGTAGAGAATCAGGGAGTTCAACTTGCTGAAAGCCTCTAGTTGCTCAACAATTCAGGGAAGGGGCAGCTAGCTCATGGGGGAACAGAAAGCCCAGGCAGCTATCAGCCCTGGGTTGCTTCAAGTTTGCTTACAAGTTCTGGGTTGTTCCATATCATTTCCCCCCTTGAACCTTCTCAACCATACTACTTGAGGAGGGTCAGTTAACAGGGGAGCAGTAAACATAGCTTCCCAGGGCAGTGACAAGGAATTGATATTCTATGACTCCAAGGCAGGAGGCTGTAAGGGTATTGTCAAGTTGTCATCAGTTGCTGTCCTCAAGCTTCTGCCATACATAATTGGTCAGTGAACAGAGTAAACAAAGCAGGACTGTAGACTCCTCAAACTTCCACAGTGCGTAAAGCTGCCATCCCAGGAGTGGCTGCAGCAGGGCTGTAGTCCTGTTGATGGGTCTTGGTCCTCTAGAAAATCACCTTGGTTGGCTGCTCAGGGTGACTTAGCATTGTCCAGGTCCCAGTCATCCTTTTGAATCACATAGTATGAAAAACTATACTTTATCTATAAGTCAATACCTCTTTTTACCTCACAGTTCTCTATAACACTTCAAAGCATTTTATAGTATTGTCTATGGAAAATGATGTACATTACTACATACTTTTGTCATTTAAAATTCAATACTACATGGCCTCTGACCCCTATTCCTTAATATAACTGTAAAGTGTTTTATATTTATTGCTACAAAATACTTATCAGATGAATGAATGAATGAAATAGAGGTTATTCTTTTATGTTTGCAGTTTAGTATTTTTTATCATCAAATGTCAAAGTAAATTTAGAACCAATATTTTGCCTTGAGCTAATTTATTTTATTATACTCCCAATAATTACTAGTGGAAGTGGATCAACACTTATATAAAAAAAATTGATCCCTTGAGAATTTGCAGAATCCTTCAAGATTAGTAATGTCTGTGTTAGTTGAATTCCTTAATATTTACTTCAAGATCATGTAATGGTCCCTAGTGCTCCTGAATTCACATTTGAATCTAGAATCTTCAGAGATTTATCCCCGAAGGCAAATGTTAATAAGATAACATGATTACTATATAAAAAAAACTGAACTTATTTCTGTAAGATGAATAGATTTTTATTTCAAGAGGTAAGTTCTTTGCTTTAGTGAGAAAACCTGGTTCCTTGAGTTTCATTTACCATTTGTTAATAGTTTATTCTTTTTAAAAATTTTTCAGAGGGTACATGTGCTTGCCAGAGAGAAATGGAGAGATATGGACAGGGAGAGGAAGAAAGCACACCCCCACAGCATACAGTCATGCCTAAATCTCTTCTCCTCCATTTCTCCATCCTTGTGAGGATTTAGGCATACACTCACATGTGCCTATGTGATATTCATGCCACCTGAGCAGGATTCCAGCCACTCAGTCATGTGGGATCTAGGTCTTTTAACACCTAGGCAATGGGGCCAGCCCACCAATTTGTTTATTAAAGTTTTATCTGTGTTTACCATCTATAGTTCAGAAGCAAGGCAGAGGTAAATCGAGTAGTAGTTTAACAATTAGTTTTAGCTGAATTAAGTTTCCATGGTCTATTCAGTGTGAATAAACAAACATCATTCCATTTACCAAGATTCTTTGTTTATTTACACATAAAATCAGAACCTCACATTCTTTATAGTTTATAAACTTAGCACTCATATATGTGCTAATGAATTCACTAGTTTTGAAATACTTTGAGGAATTGGGCTAGAAAATATCTTGTGGAAAGACATACTTTGTTTTTGTTTTGTGTGTGTGTGTGTGCAAATGCTCTCATGTCACAGGTAATCAGACACTTTGGACAAAGATGAGGTCTAAAGCCAGAAAACGAGGAAGATGAGGGTCAGCCTGGAAACTAGCTGGGTGACCTGGGTGAGATTCTTACATTTTTAGGCTGAAATTTGATTGGTTGTACACTATGTGAAAAATAATATTATTTTAATCTGTAACATTCTAGTTTAAAAGAATTGTGGCATTAGTAAATAATTTTATTAGTGTACTTTAATTTTAATTTTTCTAAATATTAATCTTAATGTTTTACACAGTAATAGACTGACATGTTAAACTGCTTTATGTAACAACATTAAATTGGAAATGTTTAAAGTAGTCTATAAACTTACAGTAGATAAATTTATTTGTTATCTTAATTTGGAATATATTATTATTTTTATTTTCCTGTTAAGAAAACGGCATATTCATTTCTATAGACAGTCTTCTTTGATGAATAGATATTGTAAATGTGTCACTAAACACCTCTTTTTTGAATTAGCTATCAGAGAACTGAGAGCTTCACTTCATTGTAACTCTTGTTTAATTTGAATTACAGCAAACTTACTCAGAGAATGGACTGAGCTCACACTCTCTGAAGTACACACCTTGATCCCATTCCCTCCTGTGTAGCCTTAAGTAAGTTAGTTCACATTTTCAACCCCAGGTTCCTCATCAATAAAGTGGAAATGATAACAAAATTTCATATTATTTTGTGGTAATTAAAATGAAGTTTTATGTCTAATTCTTGCCTATAGTTAAGCAAGCATTTAATAAATTGTAATAAATTATGTTTATTACATAATCCTATATTAATACACTTTAATCCTCATTGTTCTACTTAAATTATCATTTATTTTCTATTAATATCATATTTTTAGTCTTTATCTTTAAAGTCACATTGGTACATTTTATTTTAGATGTACAAAATATATATGCACACATGCACATGGGGGACTTCAGAAAGCTCATTGCAAATGCACATTATGAAAACACTATTCATGGAATTCAATATTTGGACAATAAAATTAATTCATATTTTAATTCAATTATTTCATAAATGGTATGGATATCCTGAATATGTACAGTTTTGATTATTTGAAAATGTTTTTCTCCTCTTTTTAAAATATAGAAAGACACATTATAGATGAACATACAAACTCTAGTTTGTGGTTTTAAAATGATATATTCTTAGTTTAAATTTTATTTGAATGATACATTTGTTCATAACATCCTCTATGTATTCATGATAATAAAATAATCAAACAAAAAATTCTTTTACATTCTGTTTTCATCACAGATTTGTTTTGGTATAGTAGCTGCATAGCCACATGGATTCCCTGGCAGACAGGAACCACACTGCAGTGACAAGGTTCATATTATTGGGCTTAACAGATGACCCAACCCTTCAGGTCATCCTCTTTGTGATCATCCTGTGCATCTACCTGGTGACCATATTTGGCAATCTCAGCACAATCATTCTGATCAGAATCTCCTCTCAGCTCCATCATCCCATGTACTTTTTTCTGAGTCACTTGGCTTTTGCTGACACAGGTTATTCATCTTGTGTTACACCCAATATGCTTGTAAACTTCTTCATGGAACTAAATACAATCTCTTACCTGGGGTGTGCCATCCAACTTAGTTCAGTTGTCTTTTTTGGGTCAACTGAATGCTTCCTTCTGGCTGTCATGGCATATGATCGCTTTGTGGCCATCTGCAACCCACTGCTTTATTCAGCCAAAATGTCCACACAAGTCTGTGCACAGTTACTCCTGGTGGCTTACACAGCTAGTTTTCTCAATACTTTCTCCCAAACTGTTTGTTTCCATTCTTTATTTTTCTGTGGACCAAATCAAGTCAATCATTTTTTCTGTGATTACGCTCCTTTAGTTGAACTCTCCTGTTCTGATACAAGTATTCCTGTGGTTGTTTCCTCATTTTCTGCTGGCTCTATTGTTATGGTCACAGTGATTGTCATAGCTGTCTCCTACATCTACATCCTCATCACCATCCTGAAGATGAACTCCACAGAGGGGCGCCACAAAGCTTTCTCCACTTGCACATCCCACCTCACTGTAGTTACTCTCTTCTATGGGACTGTTACATTCATTTACGTGATGCCCAAGTCCAGCTCCTCAGCTGACCAGAACAAGGTAGTGTCTGTGTTCTACATGGTGGTCATCCCCATGTTGAACCCCCTCATCTACAGCCTCAGGAATAATGAGATTAAGGGAGCTCTAAAGAGAAACCTTGGCAGAAAGAGATTTTCTTATTGATGTCTGTTATTTTGTAGGATGACATGATAATATTTCAGAAATATAATAATAAATGAAACAGTGTATATGATTGCAATGTATCTGTCCATATATCATTAGACCATGTGGGACATTTTAGTAAATTTCTTACATGGATTTCCATATGAAAAATAGTCAATGAGAAGTTGATAATGCATTTTTTATTAAATTAAATTAAATTTGCAATTAAGTGACTCAATGTGTTTTGCATAAAAAACTACTGAAAATTCTATTTAGTACATATTTGGACTTTTTTTGGAGAGAGGTTTTTGCTATAGGGCGCATACACTCACCAGAAAGACAGAGAGAAAGAGAGAGAGAGAGCGAGAAATCACCCTCTGAGGGGATGGGCACGCCGCAATCCCTTCTCCTCTATTCTCCTCTCAGGATCTTGGGCACACATGCACAAGCACCCTGTGTGAATTTAAGCCACCAGGTCTGGGACTCGAACCGTGGTCAAGTACGTGGGAGTCCAACAATATAGCCACTATGCCAACTGCTGGTCCCTGTATTTGGACTTTTTAAAATAGTGGTCAACAACAGTTGATTGAGAATTGAATTTTTAATTTATAAATTTTATATTCTAGAAATAGATTGTTTTTGAAGCATGCCAATAAAATTCTTAGAAAGATTCAGTCTAGTTCTAAAAGTCAGTGAGTGTGTAGATATTCCTGAGGTCTTCATGAATGATCTAAAGCCCTGCTCAATATGTGATCTTTGATGTGAAACCATTTTTTACCTTCTGAACATTTTGGGGGAGATACTGGAGATGAGAAATAGCCTTGTTTTCAAACCCAGGAAGATCTATCTCTCTTATGTTTTTCTATTTTTTTTTCTCAAATTCAAACCCTTCTATAGTTCACAACTATGAGGTTGTATTTTTTTAATAAGCAGCTCTGAGAAACCAGACAGCACTTTCTACAATTTTGGAATTCCTTCCAGGCAAATCCAAGAGTATATTATATACCTTTTCTATATTCCATTTTATCACAGGTACCAATATTGTCAAACTTTCAATTGCTACTTAGCAAATGCCATCTTCTCTTTAGCTGATATTTTTTTTCTTATTGTTATTCAAACCCTCACCATCTATTATTGTTGAATGCAGAAGTATTTTAACTCACAGAAGAAATTAGTGTTGGATATATAAATTAGAGCTTGACTAATGTCAAAAATAAGTGGTATTTAAATTCATAAAACTGTGTAAAATCACTACATGTCTGTAAATTTTAAAAAGAGGAGATCCTAGGGTGAACTATGGGCTAGTCCATTTGAAGGTCTTGAGAAGATGAGTTTTCTAGCAAAAATGCCCATCAGTGGACCAGAGGTTGGAAGAAGGCCAAATCAGGAATGTAAAACTCCAGCAAAGGAAAGTGATTCCATAAAGGAGATAGTGGGCAGTTGTTTAATACTAGGAATTTGGCGACGTGGTGAATGTAGGTAGCTTAGCAAGCATACTTTTAGAGTGATAAGATTGCATTAGGTGGGAATGTTCTTGACAAGTAACTTATAGATGAAAAGAATTTCAGTAAAGGAGTAGGACATAAGGCAGAAAGTAGATGGCATATTTATGGAATAACACTTTTTTTTTTTTTTTAAGATTGCTGAGTAAGTGTAGGAAAATGGAGTTAGAATGCTAGAAACTTGATGTTTTGGGGGGAGAATTCTCCAAGAGTCTGCCTAAAAATTTGGACTTTAACTTAAATGCATAATATTCCATCTACTCTTTATAACTTATTGATGATAAAATCAGATTAATCAATCTTTCTACACACAGTATGATTTTTCTTTTGTTAAAAAAAAACGTATGTTTTGGGACCAGCAATTGACATAATGGCTATGTAGCCGGACTCTCATGTAGCCAACCCCAGTTCAAGTGTAGAACCTGGTAGTTTAAACTCAAACTGGCATGTGTGCATGTGTGCCCATGAGAAAGGATTGTGGTGTGGCCATCGTCCCTAGGGGGTGATTTCTCACTTTCTGTCTCTGTCTGTTTCTTTCTCTCTGGTGAGCACATGTGCCTTATAGCAAAAAATTATTAAAAAAGAAAAAATGAAGTATGTTTTGGGACCAGCATATGGCACAGTGTTTACTTTGCTGGACTCCTATATAACTGACCATGTTTGAGTCTCAAGCCCAGTAACTTGAAACTCACTCCAGGCATGTGTGCATGTACCCAAGATCCTGGGAGAAGAATGGAGAAGAAGGGACTATGGCATGGCCATCTTCCCTAGGGGAATGTGGGGGGTGATTTCTCACTTTCCCTCTCACCATCTCTGTCTCTCTCTCTCTCTCCAACGAGCACATGTGCTCTAAGGAAATAACCTCTTAAAAGTAAAAAAAGGGGTTCTTTTTGCCAAAAAAATTAAATGTTTGAAAGAATAAAACATTGAGGTATTTGCAAAAAAATAAATTGTGAAAAACAGCATAAGGGGTTCTTTTTGCAAAAAAAATTAAATGTTTGAAAGAACAAAACATTGAGGTGTTTGCAAAAAAATAAATTGTGAAAAACAGCATAACTTTTGCATTAACTGAAGGAAACTTGTGACTCACTCACTTTGGATACTTAAAAGGGTTTTACAAAGTTGTGAGCAGGGTTTATAAAAAGTGTCAATGGTATAATATATCTGGGTTGGTGGTCAGCTCATTCTGAAAGAGGAAATTACTAGAGCTTGAGGAGCTATGATGAGAGAACCACAAGTCAGGGATTGTGGTACTTGGTGGAGAATCCCAACTAACCTGGCCACCCAGAAGAGAAAGAATCAAGAAGGACCCAAACTGCAGTCTTCTCTGCTGATGTTTTTCTCAGATGTTCTGAATCAGAAGCCACAGGCAAGAGAACCTGTTGATTCAGTTCTCATAGACTAGTATATTGGGAGTATGTCAAGGTGGAAATGGGATGGAAGTAGACCAGAGAAGACAGATAGGAGACATTCAGCACCATTGGGTTTTAATTTTTTTTTCTTTCTTTCTTTTTTTTTTTTTGGAGAGGTTTTCGCTATAGGGCACGTGCACTCGCCAGACAGACAGAGAGAGACATAGAGACAGAAAATGAGAAATCACCCCCCAAGGGGGATGGTCATGCCACAATCCCTTCTCCTCCATTCTTCTCTCAGGATCTTGGGCATGCACGCACACGCGCCCGGTGTGAGTTTTAAGCCACCGGGTCCGGGACGCGAACCAGAACCGCGGTCGACTACGTGGGAGTCCAGCAACATAGCCATTATGCTAACTGCTGGTTCCCACGTTTTAAAATTTTTTCACATTTTATTTTCTAGTGTATTTAAGTATTTGTAAAGTTCACATTAAAAGCTTGAAATGTTTTTGTACTGGTAAGATTATTTTCAAGTTCTAAGCTAAAAATTAGATTGGAATCATGGAGATCACTTTCCTGTCTATTGTAACAGAGCCAATGGGATTACAAACACCAAAATTTAAGTAGTATCAGTAAAAATAGAAAGGACACACATAAATGTGTTACAGGCATGTTCTTAAATAACCTAGAAATACACCTAAATAACCGAGAGAAACAAGTGTCCAACTATAATTTCATTTCAATAAGATCATTGGATAAATTCCCCCATTCAGTGTCCAACACCATGTTTCCTTTCTACCTGAACACTCCCCATCCTGCTGGAGTTTTTTAGGTATTTGTGTTGCTGTTTCTTGCCATAGGGTGTGTGCACTCACCGGATAAAGACAGTGAGAGGGAAAGTGAGAAATTATTCCCCCTGAGGGGGATGGCCAGGCCATATTCCATTCTCCTCTTGGGTTTGTGGACATGCATGCACATGCATCAAGCATGATTTTCAAGCTACTGGATCCTGCACTCGAACCACAGTTGGCCATGGAGGAGTCCAGTGCCTTAACCACCACACCACCTGCTGGTCCCAAGTACTTACTCAAAACTTACTATCAGAAGAGAGAATAAGCCATAATTAATCTACATATGCAAATTATTATAAATATTTTAGGTGATTGTGAGGTAATGTGAGAAAATATACAGTGTGTAGGACATGACTGACTAAACTCTTATTTTCTACATCCAAGAAATTTTGCAGGAGGACCTTTTTCCAGTGTTTCACAGGTTTTGGAGGGAGACAGTAGCACTTGCTTTGAATAAATTTCTTAAAGGACCAAAAGATGGTGTAATGGTTACATCACTGGACTCCCACATGGCTGATCTGGACCCAGAGACTTAAAACTCACCCTGGGCACGTGTGTGCACATGCCCGAAATCCTGAGAAGAGAAAACAAGAGAGTGGATTGTGGTGTGGCCTTTCTGCCCCAGGGGATGATTTCTCACTTTCTCTCCATCTTTCTCTGTCTCTCTGATGAGCGCACATGCCCTATAGCAAAAACCTGTTTAAAAAAAAAAGAACTCTCTTAAACTCTTCGATACTTTTTTCCCTTAATTTAAAAAAAGATATTATATTCATGTGAGTTTCATAGGGTTATGAGGATTAAGTAATCTGATTATTCTACACACACACACATGCACACACACAAACACACACACACACAAACACACAAAGACTACAAAAGGTTTATTGAAAGATAACTTGAAATACAAGTTAGTTTATTTATTTATTTATTAGGATTTTTGTTATAGGGTTCATGTGCTTGCCAGAGAGAGGAAAAGTGAAAAATCACCCTCCTGAAAGATGTCCATGCTGCAATTCCTTCTTTTCCATTCTCCTCTTGGAATTTTGGGCATGCATGCATGCATGTGTACTGGGCTTGATTTTTCTAGCTGCTGGGTCTAGGACTACCATCAGTCATGTAAGAGTCTAGCCCCTTAACCACCATGCCACATACTGACCTCAAAATACAAGTTTATTTTGATGCAAAAACATTTTGAACTCAATGAATAGGATCATCATAACATATATTTTCCATGAAGTATTTGTAGACCACTGTATGTATGTATGTATGTATGCATATGTGTAAAGCTCAAAGTTATTTCTTTGCTCCATTCTACCAATATCCAGTTTAGAAGAAAATTTTAAATCTCATATATATACCTGAAGTCTTAAAAAATATTTAGAAATAAATTAAAGATACGAAACCTTGACAAAACCAAAACATGTATAAATAATCATACCATGTAAGATAAATGGATTTAATATGTAGATGTCAATAATGTTCCATTTAATTTATAAAGTTATTGTAAATCTATTGAGAATCTCCACCATTTTGTTTGGTTAAGCTATTATATGAGCCAATTCAAATTTAATACAGATGATTAATGCTAAATAGATTGCCAAACAAATTTGCCAGAGTTTGTGAGTAGGTAATTTTTCCTGTATGAAAACACACATTAAACTAATTAAAAATAAAACAACATGGGTCAGCCAGTGGTATGGTGGTTAAGGTGCCTGGATCCCACACAACTGTCTGCCCAATTTGAGTCTCAGACCTAGCAGTTTGAAAAACACAATGTCTGTGTGTGTATGTGTGTGTGTGCATTCCCAAAATCCCAGAAGGAAGGAGGAATGAAGGAGAAGGGTTTGTGGTATGATCATCTCCCACTAGAGGTGCTTTCTCACTTTCTTTCTCTTTTTCTCTCTGTCTCTTTCCCATGAGTGTACATACTCTCTGGAAAACTAAAGGGAAAAGAAGACAATATAGTTTTGGTGAAGGTAACTACCATAACATGGTCACTACACAGTGTATGTATGTTTTGAAAAGTTACACTATACCTCATAAATGCGTACACTATTAAATATCAATTTTAAAAGTTAAGGATATGGGAACCAGAAGGTGACATGATGGTTGGGGCACTAGACTCTCACATGGCCAACCACAGTTTAAGTCTTGGACCTGGCAACTTACTTTCTCACTTTATCTCTTTCTCTCTCTCTAACATATGTGCCCTATAGCAAGTTAATAATAATTAAAATAATTAAATAACCTCTTAAAAATTTAAAGAAACAGTATAGCAACTGTACTCATGGTTAGTATAATAGCAGAAAATAAAATTTCATTCTCATCAAGAAAGATGCAATAAAATTAAAAACATTGTTTTCTGTAGGGCTATCAAACAGTAGTGGATGGAAGGAAATCTTGATTAACTAAATTCCTAAGAGAGGTAAATATTTAAAGAATTATAGTAAGAATTCATTCTGAGGGGCAAGTTCCTCATCTCAACATGAGCTGGCAGAAGAACAGACTTGTCAGAAACTTTGCGAGGATGGGGATAAAATCCTAATATGTAATGACAGTGTGGGGTATAGAAGAAATCGGCTTTTAATGAGATTCAAATTAAAAAATAAAATACTTGAGCTAAGAATTCTCCATCTTTCACTTTTCTGGAATTATGCCAGGAAAGTGGCGTTGTAGGAAGAACTTGAAAGAAATTAAAACTGATAAACTTGTACATAATTTCACTGCAAATGCTAAACAGAGTGAAAAGAGTGGCATTTGGCAAAAAGGAAAACCTACATCAATCACTCTTCTTCTATATATCTGCAATACGATTAAAAAAGAGAGATAAAAACAGTGACAAGAAGCAGATATGCATAGATGTCTCAGATAACTGTAATTTGAATAACAATATTTTAAGCAATTTAAAGTATTAAGTAATTTAAATGATGAGATAGATATAATAGGTGAATACAAAGAGAAATATATAACGTAAGAATTCATTTCATGAGAATAACAGATTATTGAACAAAAAATCAAATAAATTAATTAAAAGGATTCTAATAAAAATTATCAAAGCTGAAGCAGGAAAATAAAAATACTAAAATGAGAAAAACAAGAGACTATTAAGACAATATCACTTAATTAACAATAAATATTTGGAATTTGGGGAAAGGAAAAAATTAGCCAAAATTTGCCCAAATTTGATAAAAACATCAACCCATTTTTCAAAGGTTAAAAACAACATAGCAAAATACATATTAAAGTAATATGATGGGGACCAGAAGATGGCATAATGGTTACATAACTGGACTCTCACGTAGTTGACTGCAGTTCAAGTCCCAGACCCAGTGGCTTAAAACTCACAGTGGGCACATATGTGTGCCCTAAATCCTGAAAAGAGAACAGAGAAGGGATTGTGGCATGGCCATCCCCTCTGGAAGGTGATTTCTTACTTTCTATCTCTCTGTCTCTCCAGCAAGTGCATGTGCCCTATAACAAAAATTTCCCTAAAATAAATAATAATAATAATTATTATTATTATTATTATTAATAAGAGACTTATTATAGTCAAACTGATAAAAGTGAAAAATACTGAAAAAAATTTTTAAACAGCTAGAGGGAAAAAATACATATAGGAGAGCAGCGATAAGAATTACTGCTGACTTGTATTAATAAACAATGGAAGTCAAAGAACACTGGAACACAGAGTTCAAAAAGTTCATAGAAAACTTAAAGTTATAAAATTTTTAGGAAAGAATGTTTTAAAGTATATTTTTCATTAATGCCAGGTTGATTAATCATACTACCTCTTTGATTATTCAGACAGCATCATCAACCACTTGTCTATCACTGAACTTCTGACTATTTGTTGTATCTGCTGGATATTTACTTTGACTGTATAGTTTTATTTACTTCTGTATATGTATTTTTGTGAAGTACTCACAGAGTTAAGTTAAAATAAAACCAATGAATACCTTTAAAAAATTCTAAAGATAAAATAATCCTGAAGAATAAGCTTTTAAAATGTTTTAACATGTGTAAACATTGAAATAATTCATCCCTAATAAGATACATACCAGAAAAATGTTAAAAGGATTAAAACTTGGGTGTACACAAAATTATGTAAATTTATGTGTCTGAAATATTCTCTAAATCCTTAGGAACCAATGAATACCTTTAAAAAATTCTAAAGATAAAATAATCCTGAAGAATAAGCTTTTAAAATGTTTTAACATGTGTAAACATTGAAATAATTCATCCCTAATAAGATACATACCAGAAAAATGTTAAAAGGATTAAAACTTGGGTGTACACAAAATTATGTAAATTTATGTGTCTGAAATATTCTCTAAATCCTTAGGAATTTCATTCACCCTTTTATTGCATGATTCCTAAAAAGAAATAACTACTTTTGGATGTAATTGCAGTTTTTATTATTTTTATTTAAATCAATCTATAGCTTGAGAAGCTCACTGTAATTCATGAATAACCCAAAATAATAGATTTTTATAGCTTACTTATTCACTTCTTCCATGACCAAGAGATAGACAGAAACAGCGAATGAGAGAGAGAGTCACCTCCAACAAGATCATGCTACCATTCAGCCCCAGTCTCAACTGGCCAAATCATGGGCACATACTATAACCAGCATGCTCAGGGTGGTCCTGGGGCAGGAATCCTGGACTTTTCTGATATGGTTCCAGATGTATTACCACTGTGCCATCCCTGGACTCCAAGAAAAGTAGTTTAATAAATAAAAACTTCCTGGGGCCAGTAGGTAGAATGGTGGTTAAGGTTTTGGATTTCCACATTGTCAACTGTGGTTTGAGTCCCAGACCTAGCAACTTGCTTTCTCAGTTTCCCTCTCTCTCTGTCTCTCTCTGATGAACAAATGTGCCCTATGGAAAATAAAAATAATAAAATAAAATAAATAATTCTTAAAAAATAAAAAAATTAAACTTCTCTTACCCCATCAGAGAGAAAAAATTACTTTTACTGATGTATCATACACGCATCTATTCAAATTATGTGAACAGGGCATATAATATTTAATAATATTTTTATAAATTGGTTTACTTTAAGCTCTTATCTTTAAGTGTTCACAGAAGGGCCACTAGGTGGCATAGTAGTTAAAGTGTTGGACTCCCATGTGGTCAGGTCCCAGAAACAGTCACTTGAAACTTACATCAAGAGCATGTGCATCTGTGCCCAAAATCCTGATAGGTGATTAAGAGAGTGGGGCTACCACATGGCCAACCACAGTTTGCATCCCAGACCTAGCCACTTGGTTTCTCACTCTCTCTCTCTCTCTCTCCCTCTCTCTCTAATTCTGTCTCTCTCTGGTCAAATTTAAATAAATAAATTTAAAGAAAATAATTCTTTAAAAAAGGAAATGCAGAAACAATATATTCCTACTTTACAAAATCTCTAGATAGATAGGTAGAATAAATACATCCCAAACTCCCTAATATCTGCTCAGATTTTATGTAGATTTTTAAATAAAATTAATTAATTTACATTATGATGGGATATTTAACATTTACCAAAGCTTTAAAACTTCACTGTAAAATTGTGCGTAACATTAGATAAATACTAATACAGCTACTTCTATGTCTTTGCTACTATTTTGCATAGTTTGTTTATTCTTTTTCTCACAGTTACCAACAGTTTTCCTCTGTCAAAATATGTTAAAAATGGAGTAGCTTTTATCAAAACTACACTCCTGTCAATAATATATATGCATGTACACCTGGTGAGATTAAACCCCAAAACTACCTAAAGGCTTTAGAAAGTGACCAAAGCAGATGGGCCAGGAGGTGTCAAGATCTTGGAAGAACAGATTAAGACGAACTCAAGATCTTCTGTCACATATTGTCATCCAAGGACAGCTACAAGATAGTTGAGAAGAGTTGCATTGGGGTATGGAGCTGAGGGCTGCTTCCAATCAACATGATGACACTGACATTGTCCACTATGGTAACAACATAGCCTCTTAGAAGAAGTGCAAGGAAAGTGGAACCAAGTGTAGGATTCCATTAACTGCAATATAATGAACTCTTACCATTGTGTGGCTTTTAGCTGCTAACTTTTTTGGAATGGTCCTATTGAAAGAAAAAAACAGTGGCCATCAGTAAATAAAAGAATGTCATAATTGATATATTACTTCAACATTAGGCTTATTAAAAATCAAAACAGAGCCAGCACATGGTGTGGATGTTAAGGCAATGGATCCTACATGGCTGACCATGCAGTTGGCTAGAAGTTAATTTATTGTATTACACTCGTAATAAGTATCTAATGAATGTGCACCAATACCTACATAAAAAGAAAAATGTTGATCACTTGAGAATTGACAGAATTCTTGAAGATGAGCTGTGTTTATATGAAGAGAACTGATCAGTATTCACTTGAGTGTATAATAATGAGCCCGGGTGCTTTTGAATTCACCTTTGAATCTATGTCTTCAGAGATTTATCCCCAAAGGCATAATAAAAGATAATAAAAGATAGCATGGCTGCTATATAACAAGACTTTAGATTTATTACTGACATTTGAATGAATTCTTATGTAAAAAGGTAAGATTTTTGACTTTAATGAGTTAATCTGATTTAATGATTTCCATTAACAATGTCAGAACACTTGATTCTTCAGTTCTATCTGTATTTACCAGCTTTGATTGAGAAGAAGCACAGATGTAATGAGCAATTAGCAAGTAACTTTAGCTGAATTAAATTTCCAGAATCAATTTAGTGTGAATAAATAGACATAATTGTATTTACCTTGATTCTTCATCTATCCACTCATAAAACAAGAAACTCACAAGGTCTTTTCACTATATAAACTTAGCATTTAACCCTAGTGCTAATAAATTATCTAGCTCTGAAATGCTTGGGAAATGGTTAGCAAATATCTTGTGGAAAGACTAACTTTGTTTTGTTTTGTTTTTTGCTTTTTGTTTTTTATCTGGATGCTCTAATATCAGTCAACCAGACACTCTGGGCAAAGACAAGGATATAAAGGCAGAAAATTTGGAGATGGGGTTCAGTGTGGCCACTCTGGGCAACCTGGTGAGCATCTTCATTTTTTTAGAATGAAACTTTATCAGCTGTTAACTATGCAGAAAATAATAAATCTTCCTATAATGTTCTAATCAGAAAACGTTGTTACATTAGGAAATTATTTGATGTTTGAAAAAATGTATTTTGTGTTCTACATATTAATCATGTTTTACATAGTGACTAAATTAATATTTCAAGCAATATTTTCATTGGAAATATTAACAATATTTAATAACCTTAGAACAGATAACTTCCTTCATAACCTTAATTTGAAATTCCTTTCTATTTCTTTCTTGTCCTACCAACAAATTGTGATTATCTTGTTTAAAAAATAGCCATTGTTAAAGTATAGACATTATAAACTGTGTAACTATTTGGGGAAGCCCCAAATCTGAGAGGGCTTGCCCATAATGTTCACCCATTCCAAAGAACACACCCAGAGGTCCAGCAGGGAAAGACATCAGTTTATACTCACACAGCAGGACAGGATGCTCCACTGATGACTGGGCAGAGAATGGCCCATGCTATCATTGAGCATGGGGTCCAGTTATATATGCCAAGAACAAAGCATTCCTGGGACCAGCAGGTAGAATAGCAGTTATGTTGCTGAACTCCCACATGACTGACCATGGCTTGAGTTCTGGACCTGGGGGGTTGACCATCACGTGGGGTGCATGTGCATGTCTGCCCAAGATCCTGGGAAGAGAATGGGGAAGAAGGGATTGCTACATGGCCATCCCCCCTGGGGCGTGATGTCTCACATTCCATCTCACTGTCTCTATCTCCCCCTGGGAGTGCACATTCCCTAAGGTTAAAAACTTTTAAAAAAATAAATAAAGCATTTCTAAATCAATAAAAGATCAATGCAGATTTCCTGTTCCCAAGACAGGTGTCTGGTTTGTACCTATATTATATGAAAATCACATTAAGAGGTTAGCTTATTGCTGAACAGAACCAGCAGAGTATATTTTAATGCCCCTAATCTTGTGATGTTACTATGGGAGAGGTGTACCTACCTCTGGAATGGCGTGGCCAAGAGCCAATTCCATGAGGTAAAGGAATAGTCACAAGATGTTCATGAGACCTGCTATGGTCTGCAACTAGGACTCAGGCAGATAGGGCATAGGGAAAGGAGAGGGGAGCTCAATGTGCAGAGCCGACCCTCAGTTACTAACTACACTACTAAATACATTAGCTGTCAGAAAACTGAAAAGCAAACCAGTTATCCCTTTATTTATAAGTATACTCTACTTCATAGTAACTGTTTAATTTCATTCCTAGCCTAGTTACTAAGGGTTTGGACTGAGTTCACATTGCCTGGGGTTCACATCCATTGCTACTTATCCTTAGGTAAGTTACATCACATTTTTTACTACGGTTTCTTCAACTATAAAATTGGATTAATAACAGTTCTTAACATTTTTACATGAACATTAAAATAAAACTTTACACTTTAAACTGGTGCTCATAAATTAGGAAGCATTTGATGAATGTTAACAATTAGTTACCTTCCTCACATAATCTTTATTTATTTTTGTGGAAGAGATTTTTTGCTATAAAGGCATGTGTGCTCACCAGAAATACAGAGAGAGACAGAGAGACAGAAAGCGAGAAATCACCACCACACCCAGGGGTGATGGCCACACCACAATCCCTTCTCCTCGCTTCTCCTCTCGGGATCCTGGACACGCCTGTACATGTGCCCGGCATAAATTTAAGCCATCGAGTCCAGGACTTGAACCACAGACAACTACATGGGAGTCCAGCAACATAGCCATTATGCCAACTGCTGGTCCCCTTACATAATCTTATAGTCATATATTTTCATTCTTTTTGTTGTACTTTCATTCCCCTTTATTATTCTAAGTGTTGTATTTTAAAATCTTTAGCTTTAAGGTCAACCAGTACATTTGTTTTACATGTATACACTCATATATGTATAAATATGCACACCCACACCAATGACAGGTTTTCCAAAACTTCATAGAAAATGTGTGTTATATAAAAAACTATTCAGGGGTTTCAGATTTTTTTTGTTCTGAAATAAATTCATACTATAATTTCATGTTTCCACAAGCATTTTGAAATTTCCTTGCACAAACATTATTTTATTATTTGAAATAACTATTCTAGTGATTTAAAAATATAGAAATATACATTATACGTAAATATGGAGAAGCTGGTATTCTAGAGTTTTAAAAAATCTATTCTTAGTCTAAACCTTATTTAAATGATATATTTGTTCATAATAACCTCTGTATAGGTACTAATGAAAATGAAAGCATCAATTATTTAAATTGCTAAATGAACTGTTTTCATCACAGGTTTGTTTTTTTAGCAGTTTTGTTGTCTCATGGATTCCCTGGTAGACAAAAACCACACTGCAATGACGGGGTTCATTTTATTGGGCTTAACACATGATCCAGTCCTTCGGGTCACCCTCTTCGTGATCATCCTGTGCATCTACCTGGTGACTGTATCTGGCAATCTCAGCACAATCATCCTGATCAGAACCTCCTCTCAGCTCCATCATCCCATGTATTTTTTTCTGAGCCACTTGGCTTTTGTTGACATAGGTTACTCATCTTCTGTCACACCCAATATGCTTGTAAACTTCTTGGTGGAGAAAAATACAATCTCCTACCCTGGATGTGCTATCCAACTTGGTTCAGTTGTCTTTTTTGGGTCAACTGAATGCTTTGTTCTGGCTGCAATGGCATATGATCGCTTTGTGGCCATCTGCAACCCACTACTTTATTCGGCCAAAATGTCCACGCAAGTCTGTGCACAGTTACTCCTGGTGGCTTACACAGCTGGTTTTCTTAACACTTGGTCTTTCACTGGTTGCTTTTATTCTTTATTCTTCTGTGGGCCAAATCAGGTCAATCATTTTTTCTGTGATTTTGCACCTTTAGTTGAGCTCTCCTGCTCTGATACAAGTATCCCTGCAGTTGTTCCCTCCTTTTCTGCTGGCTCCATCATTGTGGTCACAGTGATTGTCATAGCTGTCTCCTACATCTACATCCTCATCACCATCCTGAAGATGCACTCCACTGAGGGGCGACACAAGGCCTTCTCCACCTGCACTTCCCACCTCACTGCTGTCACTCTGTTCTTTGGGACCATTACATTTATTTATGTGATGCCCAAGTCTAGTTATTCAACGGACCAGAACAAGGTGGTATCTGTGTTTTACATGGTGGTCATCCCCATGTTGAATCCTCTCATCTACAGTCTCAGGAATAATGAGATGAAGGGGGCTCTGAAGAGACAGCTTGGTGGAAAAATATTTTTTTAGGAATGACTCTTATTTTGTAGGATTTGACATAATATCCCAGAAATATAATAATAGAGAAAGAAAACCAAATGTTTATGGTTGAAATATGTCTATTTCTGTATTTTAAGCAAATCCGGAGCTTTGTATTGAATGTAGGCCTTGGATTTCCAGATTAAAAGTAGTTAAGAGAGTCATAATGAGTAGACTAATAAATCAAATAAATTTATATTTAAGAAATACAATTTTTTGGGACCAGCAGTTAGCATAATGGCTATGTTGCTGGGCTCCCACATAGTCGCCCACAGTTCGCATCTCAGATCCGGTGGCTTAAAACTCATGCCGGGCGCGTGTGCGTGCGTGCCCAGGATCCCAAGAGGAGAATGGAGGAGAAGGGATTGCGGCGTGGCCATCCCCCAGGGGATGATTTCTCGCTTTCTGTCTCTCTGTCTGGTGAACGCACGCACCCTATAGCAAAAACCTCTAAAAAAAAAGAAAAGAAAAGAAATACAATTTATTTTGCATAAAAAATAACCCCTGGGGCCAGCAGGTGGCATGGTGGTTAAGGGACTGTACTCCCACACAGCCAACTGTGGTTCGTGTCCTAGACCTGGCAACTTGCTTTCTCACTCCTCCCACCCCTCTCTCTCGAGAGCATGTGCTCTGTAGCAAAATTTCAAAATAATAATGATAAATTAAATTAAATAATTCTATTGAAAGACTGGCTTAAAGTTCAATTGAATTTGTACTCATATTTTTTCTATTGTAGTCATTTTCTGTGAATTGAGATTGTTGTGCTTTCAAATATCTAAGACTATGTCTATTTTGAACAACAGCTTATCCTGAAATATGAGTAATAACAGTAGTTATGACTGAATATATATCCTGAGATAAAATGATAAAGTAGAACAGACAGTAAAATTGCTGAAGATGTTTTTCTTATAGTAAAGCTATCTGTGGGGTATAGGCATTATGGTCTGATAAAATCCTGATCTGTATTGCCAGCCTCTGATTCCAGCCTTGAATATATGTGGAAGTCACAAAAGGATGAGATGCCCATGACCAAACTGTGGCTTCTTCAGTCAGGTAGAAGAGAGAACTTTTTCTACAGAAATGATCAAGGTTCATTGGGACAAACCTTTGGAGTGACTTGTTCATGATCCGAGTTCATCTTCAGAAACATGAGGATTTAAGACTGTTTCTTCTCTGAGAATCTTAATGTATGTCTCTCTATAGGCTGATGACTAACACATTTATTTTTGGTTGATTCTCATCTTTTCTACTTCTAACTTGCTTCCCTGCAGAAAAGAAGAACAAAAAATGTATTCAGTTGATTGATTCAGGAGACAGCAATAATTTCTTTTTCTTTCCCCCTCTGTATTTCTACATTCAATCACTAAGTCTTGTACAGTAAGAGTTTAACATTAATCTACTACTCTCCATTTTCATTGTGAATACTTCTCCTTCATGCTGAGATCTCTTATGTTTAGTTTACAGTACCCCTATGATGGTTAATTTAGTGCATCAACTTGTCTAGACTAAAGTACTCAAGTATTTGGTTCAACACCAGTCTAGATACTTCTCTAGTGGTATATTTTTTAGATGTGACTAACATTTAATCAGTAATGTAACATTTAAATCAGTAGAACATTGGGTATATACTCAAAGGATATAAAAATCAGTATGTTGTGGAGATGTCTGAGTGACCATGTTTATTTCAGCATTGTTCACAATGGCCAATATATGGAAATAACCTACTTGCTTGATAGTATATGAATAGGTAAAGAAATTGTGGCATGTATATACAATTGGATATTATTCAGCCTTAAAGAGAAGGGCATTCTGCATGTACAGCAACATAAATACACTTTGAGTATATATGCTAAATGAAATAAGTCAAAAGACTATGAGTATATATGCTAAATGAAATAAGTCAAATACATATAGAAATATTTTGCCTGAGTCCGCCGATGTGTGAAATCTTTAAAAACATTGAATTGCGGCCAGCAGGTGGCATAGTGGCTGAAGTGCTGGACTCCCACATGGCCAACAGCAGTTTGAGTCACTGACCAGTGGCTTGAAAATCATGTTGGGTGTATGTCCATGCATGCCCAAAATCCCAGTAGGAGAATGGAGAAGAAAGGATTGTGGTTTAGCCATCCCCCGTGGGGGGTGATTTTTCACTTTTTTCTCACTGTCTCTTGCTGTCTCTCTCTCTCTCTCTGGAGAGTGCACGCACTCTATGCAAAAAACTTTTTTTAAAAATTGACTGTACAGAAACAGAGAGAAGAATGTTGGTCGCAAGGGTCATGCAATAGAGAAAATGGAAGATGTAGATCAAAGAGGCAACTCCACACCCTGATAATGGCAGCGTGCTAACTCCTCTCTTAGTCTTTGTTGACTCAGTTCTGGTAAATATGGGATACAAACTTGCTCCCCTCCTTGCTTCTGAGTAAGCTCTGCTCAGTTTCAGGTTCCACTACCCAGAGAAAGCATTAGTGGAGTGCTGCTTCTTCATATTGTTTTGTCGTAGATTGGAGTGAATGCTCAGCTCCTTCCTGGGCCACCACTCACAGGGCAAAGGGGAAAATTCAAATGTCCCAACTCATATTATCTCATTAAGCTAGTTGAAACCAGGTGATATGTAGATTCATCTCCTTGGTGGACCCTTCTGATGCTACCCAGGTAGGAAAATGAGAGGGAGGATGAATGATCGACTCCCTGATACGTGATGTGGGGTTATTTGGCAGAATAGAAGATCATTTTTCCATTGGTGTGTGTCTGAAGTAGGATAGATGTTATCAAAAGATTTTTTGATCTGTTACTTTTTGAAATTTGTGCATAGTTTTTTCTTTTTTAAATACACATTTTCCATGAGTTTTTCCAAGACCCCTTGTAAAAGTTTTGAGGTTTGTTTCAAGATACTTTTTGATTTCCATTTTACTTTATCCTTTGAACTATTGTCTGTTGAAGACAGTGTTATTTTATTATCACATATTTGTGAATTTTCTAGTTCTTTCTGTTATTGATATCTAGTTTTATAAAAGATGCTTGACAAGAATTTTAATCTTAAATTTGTTAAAACTTGCTTTGTTTACTTTTTGTCTAGATGACATGTCCAGTGGTGAGTGGTTAGTCGAATTCTATCTTTTTAGGTCTATTAATCTTTGTTTTGCATATTGGGTGCTCCAATGTTAGGTACATAAATATTTTATTTGTTTTATCTTCATGGTGAATTAATCCCTTTAGTACTATATAGTGATCTTTGTCTCTTTTTACTGATTGTTATTGAAATCTCTTTTGTCTGGTATCAGTATCATGAATCCAGCTTTTTGTTTGTTTCTTTGTTTCCATTTGCATGAAATTGCTTTTTCCACCATTTTTGTTTTCAATCTATGTATGTCTTTACCAGTGAGGTATGTTTCTTTTCCTTTTTTTTTTTTTTTTAAATCCATTCAGCCAACCTGTGTCTTTTAATTGGGGAAGTATTTACAGTCAGTGTTGTTTTTGTTGTTGTTTTACATCTGTTTGCTTTTTGAGATCTCTTATAATAAGGGAGATACAAATCAAAACTATGATGAGATATCACCTAACCCCAGTCAGAGTGGCTAAGGTTAAAAAAATAAAGAAAGATAAGTGCTGGCGAGGCTGTAGTGAAAAGGGAGGACTTGTTGAGGACTTCCACTACTCACTTTTACACCTATCTCCAAAATCTTGTCACTCCAGAATTTTTTCCTCCACAGCAACATTAAGGCAGTGTGGTTCTTTCTATAAGTGGATTTAAACTGCATTTTATCTTTATAGAATATTTTTAATTTGGAGTCCACTAAAAGTTCCCTTTGCCTTTCTGGTTTTCCCATACTGCTCTGTTTATTTATGCCATATATCTGTCCCATGGTTAATTTGGAACAAAAACAGCAGGCTACACTATTTTCTCAGGATGTCAATTTAATTCAGTCCCTAGATTCCAGTCGCTGAATCCTCCTTTATGAACACTTTTCTAATTCTCTATTGCAACAAGAGATGGCACACTTCAAACCAAAGATGATAAAGTAGAGATTGTAAATTGAACCGTAAAATATTTTTAAATAAGAAAATTAAAAACAATCAGAGAATGTCTTGAAGGCATTGTTTAAAAGATTTAAAAGAGGAAATTATGATTTGATAAGGAGAGATGGAGCACAGGGAAATTGAAGAGGAAAAAGTGTTTTTCCTTTCTTACCCCGTGAGTCTTAGAATGGGAGAATTCTAGGAAGAGATGAAATTTCTGTACTTCTAGGGATTTCAGGAATATTGGGGAAAGGAAGAGAAAGAAGAATGTATTTTCAAAAATACTAGACACAGGGTATGGACAGAAGAGAAAAAACTTGGGCAAAAATTAGCTGACCATAAGTGAGAAGAAGTAAAAGGGAAATAGTGTGGAAATTAGCCTAATTCAGTACTTTGCAAAGATAAACATGTTACACGTTAGAATGAGGAAGGTAGTGGACAGGAAATTGGACAGTAGTGTGTTTGTACAAGACACAGCCCTCAAATTCCAGGTAAAAACTTTTGTGTTATGCCTCACCCTCTGCAACCTCAGTTTAAGATACTGGGCCATTGTTTTCTCTTATACATCATCTTGACTACGTTTACAAATTTATTTAAAAGCAATAAAAACAAATAAAATCAAAATTATTTTACTAAATAACTCACTGTGACTGTGCTATTATAATTGCAATCACACAGATAGAAAAACAATGAGCACAGCTATTGCAAAGGAAAGATGGACAGAAATGCATGCACTCTATGGAATTTCGGAGGTAAGCTCAACAGAATTGATCATGGTGAACACATGAGAGGAAATTAAGATCCTGAATGCTGCCCATTGCTCAGGGACAGACTGTAGGTTCAGCTAACTTTAGGCAATAGGGCAAAGTGTTGCAAATGGGGAGAGAAAATTGTAAATCAAGAGCTAGTTGCAAATCACTGGTCGTTACTGAGGTACTTAAAGCTTGGTCATAGTAGGGGTTCAAAGTACATATCCTAATATTCAGTATGCCCTGAATATTAAACCTACATTTAATTTTATCAACTTAATACACTTGGGCAAGTACATGAAACAAAGTCTCAGTTTTCTCTCATAAAGTTTGGATAATGATAATTCTTAGCTCACCAAATTATTGTATTAAATTAGATCATGTGAATGAAGTGCAGTGCACGGCATAGAGTAAACTCTGAATGAAAATCTGTTAGTATTAAGAAGGGTGAGCTACTTCTATCAAGAATGGCAAAAGGAGGGTATGATAGGACTTTCTAACATTAGAATTAGTAAGAGAATTAGATGAGATATTCAGGGTGAAAGTTGGTATCTTATTGTCATCTGTGCAGTCATATAAACCACTAGTCACTAGTCATCCCTCTGAGTCACAAAGTATGAAAAACGAGCTTTATCTAGAAGTCATCAAAGCTTTTAACCTCATAGTTCTCCATTTATGAGAGCTTAAAAACCTCGATTTTATATCTTTTCCTAGAGAAAAATTATGCTCACTTGTAAATACCTGAGTTACTTAAAATTCAATATTGCAGGGCATCCCTGTCCCTATTCCCTGATATACCTGATGAAGTGTCTTTACTCTTCAGTACAAAATACTTTTAAGATGAACACATGTTGAAGTAATGAAGTGAACATTATTGTTTTATATTTGCAGTTTAATATTCTTTAACCTGAAACGTCAAAGAAATTTAGAATCGATATTTAATTAAGATAATTTATACTGTTCTTCTAATAATTACCAATAAATGTGCACCAATGCCCCCATAAAAAGAAAGCTATTGATCACTTGATAATTGACAGAACACTTAAAGTAGTGTATTTTTGTAAATTGAATTGTTTGATATTTATTCAAGATGATGTAATAATCCCTGGTGCTTTTGAATTCACATCTGAACCTAGAATCTTCAGAGATTTATCCCCAGAGGCAAATAATAATAAAATATAACATGGCTACTTTATAACAACAGGGACTTTTGATTTATTACTGCAAGATGAAAGTATTGTTATTTCAAGAGGTAAGATTTGGGCTTTAAGGAGTAAATTTGATTTATTGATTTCCATTTACCATTTGTAAACAATTTATAATTAAAATTGTGTCTGTGTTCACCAGCTATAGTTGAGAAACAAGAAAAATGTAATGAAACAAGCACATTTAGCCAAATTAAATTTCTACAGTCAGTTTTATTATGAATAAACAGATATAATGTTGTTTATCTAGTTTCCTCATTTATCCAGTCACAAAACAAGAGCCTAACCCTTGGTCTTCACACTTCGTAAACTTAACACTCAACTATGATGATGATAAATTCATTAGCTTTGAAATACTTTAGGAAATTATGTTAGTAAATATCTTGTAGGGGGGAAATGAAGAGGTAAGACATTTGTGGGACATAGATAAGGCTTATTATCTGTGACGAGGATGTGTATGGTGGGCTGGACTGGGCTGGACTGAGGTGTATATCAAGCTGGGTAAAGTCTCTTCACAATCTAAATGAAGTATAGCAATTTAATGTATGAATAATAGTAAAAAATACAAATTAAAAATAGAATAAAATAGCATTTTATGTCAAAAAAATATCTTGTGCAAAGATTTACTTTGTTGTTTTTTTTTTTTTTTTTTTGTCTGAATGCTCTCATATTATAGGCATCCAGACACTTTGGACAAAGACAAGGATATAAAACCAGAAAAAAAGGAAGATGAGGGTCAGCGTGGGCAATAACTGGGTGACCTCGGTGAATTTCTTAACTTTTTTGGCTAAAACTAAATCGGTTGTACACTAGGTTGAAAAATAATACTATTTTAATTTTTAACATTCTAATTAAAAAATATTGTTGCATTATAAAATGATTGATAAAGGTGAGTAATGTACTTTAATTTTCATTTTTTTAAAAATATTAAGCATATGGGACAAGCAGATGGCATAATGACTATGCCTCTGGCCTCCCATGTAGTTGACTGCAGTTTGAGTTCTGGACCTGGTGGCTTAAACTCATGCTAGGCGTGTGTGTGTGTGTGTGTGTGTGTGTGTGTGCCCAAGATGCTCAGAGGAGAAGGGATTGTGGCATGGCCACCCCCTCCGGGGGATACTTTCTTGCTTTCTGTCTCTCTGTCTTTCTGGTGAGTGCACACGCCCTATAGCAAAAAAAAACTCTCCAAAATAAATAAAATAAAATATTAAACATAATATTTTACTAGTAATAGAGTGACATTTTAAACTTTTTTAACTAGAAAGTTTTGAGTCCTGGACTGGACAGTTTGAAAAACTCTCCAGGCACTCAGAATCTCAAGAGACTAGAGGAGAAGGGATTGCAGCATGACCCTCTTCCCTGAAGAGTGATCTCACACTTTCCTTCTTTTTTTCACACTATAGGGGGAAAAAAAGGAGTTTTCTTTGACAGATAGACATTGTAAATGTGTTAATAATTAGGTGCCTGTTGTTTAGCTGTCAGAAAACAGTGTAGTAGTCCATTTTAATGTAACTACCATTTAATTTTATTTATAGCAAAGTTGCTAAGAGAATGGACTAAGTTCAGACTGCCTGGGAGTCATATCCTGATGCCATTGCTTCACATGTAACACCTAAACCTAAAGTACGCTAGTTTACATTTTTATTCTCGGCTTTCTAATATGTAAAATGGAAATAACAATGGTACTTAAAATTATTTCATGGAAATTAACCTCAGCTTTCTCATATGTAAAATGGAAATAATAATGGTACTTAAAATTATTTCATGGAAATTAAAACAGAACTATAGGGACCAGCAGTTAGCGTAATGGCTATGTCGCTGGACTCCCATGTAGTCAACCACGGCTGGCGTCCCGAGCCCAGTGGCTTAAATCTCACGCCAGGTGCATGTGCGTGCGTGCCCAAGATCCTGAGAGGAGAATGGAGGAGAAGGGATTGCGACGTGGCCATCCCCCCTGGGGGGAGATTTCTCGCTTTCTATCTCTCTGTCTCTCTCTGTCTGGCGAGCGTATGCGCCCTATAGCAAAAACCTCTTAAAAAAAAAAGAACTATATATAAATGTATATAATTTACTGTGCCTATAAATTAGTAAACATTCAATAAATGTTAGCATTACTCATCCTCATTACATGATCTTGTTTTCGTACATTTCGATCCTTTTTGTTATATTTACATATCCTTTACTATTCTAATAAATCCCATGTCTTTAAATCTTTAGCTTAAAACCACATTAGTATATTTTATTTTATGTATACAAAATATCCATAGACACATACATTTACATACATAATAGGGGACTTCATAAAATGATGAGAACTGCACAATATGAGAACACTTCATAGATTTCAAAATTTCGGGGCAGGAACATAAATTCATGCTTTAATTCCATTATCCCATGAATGTTTTAAACTCCATGTGTATATGCATTATTTTATTATATAAAATAATTTTTCTGGTTATTTGAAAATATAGGTAGATATATCACACATATATAAACTGATATTCTAAACTAAAAATACACATGATTAAACCAAACTTTATTTGGATGATACATGTTCATAATTGATGTATTGATGGAAAGAAAATCATCAAACATATTCATTCCTTAGTGTACTGCTTCATCACAAGTTTGTTCGGTAACAGCTTTGTTGTCTCATGGATTCCATGGTGGACAGAAACCACACTGCAGTGACAAGATTCATTTTATTGGGCTTAACACATGATCCAGTCCTTCAGGTCGTCCTCTTCGTGATCATCCTGTGCATCTACCCTGTGACCGTATCTGGCAATCTCAGCACAATCATCCTGATCAGAATCTCCTCTCAGCTCCATCATCCCATGTACTTTTTTCTAAGCCACTTGGCTTTTGCTGACACAGGCTATTCATCTAATGTCACACCCAATTTGCTTGTAAACTTTTTGGTGGAGAGAAATACAATCTCCTACTTTGGATGTGGAACCCAGCTTGGTGCAGCCGCTTTCTTTGGGGGAACTGAATGCTTCGTTCTGGCTGTCATGGCGTATGATCGCTTTGTGGCCATCTGCAACCCACTGCTTTATTCAGCCAAGATGTCCACGCAAGTCTGTGCACAGTTACTCCTAGTGGCTTATGTAGGTGGTTTTTTCAATGCTTTCACTGTTACTATTTGCTTCTATCCTTTATTCTTCTGTGGACCAAATCAAGTCAATCATTTTTTCTGTGATTTTGCTCCTTTAATTGAACTTGCGTGCTCTGATACACGTGTCTCTGTAGTGTTTTCCTCTTTTTCTGCTGGCTCCACTGTTGTTATCACAGTGATTGTCATAGCTATCTCCTATATCTACATCCTCATCACCATCCTGAAGATGCGCTCCAACGAGGGGCGTCACAAAGCTTTCTCTACCTGCACGTCCCACCTCACTGTGGTCATTCTATTCTACGGGACTCTTACATTCATTTATGTGATGCCTAAGTCCAGCTTCTCAACTGACCAGAATAAAGTGGTATCTGTGTTCTACACAGTGGTCATCCCTATGTTGAACCCCCTCATCTATAGTCTCAGGAATAATGAGATAAAGGGGGCTCTAAAGAGAGAGTTTTACAGAAAAATATTTTGTTAGTTATTTCTGTTATTTTTGTAGAATTTGATATAATAGTATTTCATATAAAATAATAAAAGTAAATTGAGTGTCTAGTTGAAATATATCTGTCTGCATATCATTAACCAGTTTGGGACATTATAGTGAATATTGGATGTGGGTTTTCTGATTAAAAATAGGAAATTAGAGACTCATAGTGAATTATCTAATAAATTAAGTTAAATTTTTAATTAAGAGGCAGTTTGTTTTGCATAAACATAATCTCCTTACATTTTATTTACCTTTTATTCACATTTTTGGGCAATTATCATTTGGTCTGAATTGTAGTTATTGTACTTCCAAATCTTTAAAATTGTGTTCTTTCTGATCAAATGCTTATTCTGAAATGTGAATAATAACAATAGTTATTACTGAATATACATTCTGAGAGAAAATTACATGGTAGAATAGACAATAAAATTTCTAGAGATGTTTTTCTTGCAATGAGTTTATCTACTGAGATGGGCTTTATGGTTTCATTAAACTCTGTTCTGTGTTTGTGGCTTCTGACTCCAACCTTGGATATACAACAATCCAGAAAATGATGAGATGACAAATTAACTTGTGAATTCCTCTGTCAGGTCGAAAGAATTGACTTCCTCTACAGGGTGACTGAAGTTCCTGATCCCTTCAGGGAATGAGTGGAGCAAATTCTTGAAGTGATCAAATCCACACTGTGCTAAGGAAATTTGAGGGATTTAGACTCTTTCTCCCATAAAGACTTCAACTTATCACTATGCATAGTCTGATGATTATCATATTTATTTCTCATTCACCATTCTCTCTTATGTCTTCAATTTGATTCCTTCTGGTGAAAGGCACTAAAACTTAATCCGTTTATTGATTCAGGAGATGGAGTAATTTATTTCTCTTTCACCCTCTGCACTCCTACATTTAATCACAAAGTCGTGTACTTTCTGATCCAACATTTACCTACTACTTCTCGCCATCTTCCTTCAACATTTCCACTGCATGCTGTGATCTCTTACATTCAGGGTGCATTAGTGCCCCTGTAATGGTTCATTTTATGTTTGAATTTGATTAAGCTATGCTGCCTAGCTGATTGCTCCAATAGCATCCCAAATGTTTCCCTAATGAGACATTTTTAGATGTGATCAACATTTTAAAAAGTAAAACAATGGGTATATCTGCAAAGGAAATGAAATTGGCATGTTTTGGAGATATCTGAGTTACTATGTTCATTTCAGCATTACTCACAATAGCCTAGATATGGAAACAATCTTGTATCTATCAATGGATGCATGGATAAAGATATTGTAACATATATACACAAAATACTATTCAGCCTTAAAACAAAAGAGTTTCTGCCAGTTTTGACAACATGGATAGAATTTTAGGACACTAGTTAAGGGAAATCAGCTAGAAACTGAAAGAAAGATAGTGCATGATCTCACTTACATATACAATCTTTAAATATTTCAATACAGCCCTGCCACAAAAGGATGTTCTGGAAGATGCTACTATTCTTAGTTTGGGACTAATGGGAAGCCTGGAATTAGTTGCATTCACTCTAAAGTTTGGACCTCAAGGTGCATGGCATAGTCGTCATCACTTAGGAGGCTGAGACAAGGGGATTGCAACATAGCTACATCCTATCTAAATTTTTTAAAAAGTTGAATACATAAAGAAAAAGAGCAGGTTGGTGGTTTCCAGGCACAATTGGTGAAAAAAAAAATGGAATGTGTAGGTCAATGAGTACAAAGTTGCAATTATGTAGGATGAGCAAGTATAGAGATCCGATGTATACAGCAGGATGACTATGGTTAATTCTACTGAATACTGGAAATCTCTCCTCCCTTCTCTCTCTTTCTGGCAAGTATACACGCCCTCTAGTAATAAAAAAATATATAGTTTTCCAATTATTACAAAAGTGATGTATAGGTTATGAATCCCAGATCAAGAATAGATTCTAATTCTTCCTGATTCAATGTTCAAGGTATGTTGGTGAAAGCATAATTCTTTGAAAATGGGGATATGAAAACATCCTAATGAAGAAACTAACTTAAAGAAGTCCTGACCATCGGCACTCTGATGGATGAAATTTTTATCTATGGTTTCCAAAAGGATAATGCCATGATTCTTATTCCTTCATTTCTCCTACTTTTATCCATCCTGTAGGGATTCTGGGCACATGAGTACATATGTCCAGCCTTTTTTTCAAGCTGCTGGGGCTGGGATTCAGACTGTGGTTGGCCATATGGGATCTGGCTGTCTTAACCACTACACTAAAGGGCTGACCATGGTATATACAATTTTTTTAACTATTCTATCATGCAAGTGCATTGTATGGATAGCAGAGAAATAACTTTGCAAAAGTAAGCTGACTGGAAGTTAAAAGGCATAAAAGGGAAATGGTGAATGGGTTTGCCTGACTCAGTACTCTGCAAAGGTGAAAATGTTATACACGAGAATGAAGAAGGTAGAAGACAGGAGTGTGTCTGGAAGAGACACAGTCAGCGCCACAATTACAGGTGAAAACCTTTGGTATTTTCTGCGTCCTATACCATCTCACTACAAGATGTTGTTTCATCTATAAGCCATCACATTAAATACATGCAATTATTTAAGAATAGTGAAACTTGATGACTGAGTAATATTCCATAGTGTGTATATATATGATAATATCTTTGAATTGACTAATAAGCACTGTATTCATGCTAGGAAAAACTATTTTGTTCACTGTGAAGATATACAGTGATAAAAATAATTTTACAGACACTGGACATCATAATCACTAAAATCAGAGTGTTTTCTTATTAAAATAGCCAAGATGTGGGGCCAGCCAACAGTATAGCAGTTACACTGTTGGACTTCCACATAGCTAACCACACTTCAAGTCCCAGACCAGGTGGCTTGAAACACACTGGGTGTGTGCAAGTGTGCCCAGGATCCCAGAAGGAGAATGGAGAGGAGAAGGGATTGCTGCATAACCATCCCTCCTGGGGGTTGATTTCTCACTTTCTCTCACTGTGTCTGTCTCTCTTTTTCTGGCAAGCTCGGGTACTCTAAGGCAAAAACATCTTTTTTAAAAAAAAGTAACCAAAATGCGTTTTAAAAAATCTACATGTAACTGGAAACTTAAAAAACTTTCCGTGTTTTGGGGACCAACAGTTAGCGTAATGGCTATGTCGCTGGACTCCCAAGTAGTCAACCACAGTTTGAGTCCTGGACCTGGTGGCTTAAACCCATGGCAGGCGCATGTGCATGTATGCCCAAGATCCCGAGAGGAGAATGGAAGAGAAGGGACTGCGGTGTGGCCATCTGCTCTGGGGGGTGATTTCTCATTTTTTATCTCTCTGTCTCTCTCTTTCTGGTGAGCGCACGCACCCTATAGCAAAAACCGCTAAAAAAAAAAAAATACTTTCCACGTTTTTACACAAAGAACGTCAAAGAAGTAGTTCACAAAGTCAGGGTTAAGTCAACATGAGAAAGAATTAGGTTATTTCCTGCCTATGTTGTATCAGATCGATCCAATATCTGATAGAAGGAAACCAGTCATTTCTCTTCCTTTTTTTTTTTTTAAGTAATTATTATAAATTTCTAAGAAAATTTATAATTGGTGTTTTTATTGGCATAAGCCTAGACTCTAATTTGGAGAGTTTACTTCTCTATATCATACATCCCAGAATGTAGTACTGTGCCTATTCAATTATTTTGGGTAATAATTTTTTAAGAGAGCTTTCTTAAAAGAATTATTTATTTAGGGACCAGCAGATGGCATGGCAGTTTGGAGCGCTGGACTCCCACATGGCCGACTGGTTTAAGTCTTGGACCTGGACGCTTGTTTTCTTACTGTCTCTCTCTCTCTGTCCCTCTCTGGTCAAATTAAAATAAAAAATAATTACTTATTTAAGATTATTTATTTATTCATTTATTTTTACATGCCCAGAGTGGGGGAGAAAGAGAGAGAGAAAGAAAGTGAGAAAGCAAACCACCAGGTCTGGGCCTTGAACTGTGGTTGGCCATGTGGGAGTGTCCAGCATCCCTAAGCACTATAGCACTTGCTGGCCCCTCTTGAGAGAGATCTTTGCTATAGGGCATGTACACTCTCCTGAGAGATAGAGAGAGACAGAGAGACAGAAAGCAGGAAATCACTCCCCAGGAGGGATGGCCATGCCACAATCCCTGCTCCACATTCTCCTCTCGAGATTTTGGGCACGCGCACACACGCCTGGTGTAAGTTTCAAGCTGCTGGGTCCAGGACTCGAACCACAGTAGAGTACGTGGGAGTCCAGCGATGTAACCATTCTACCATCCAATAATTATGTTTAATACTACTTATCTGCATTATAACCTATATACTTAGTGTTGAATTTAATCTCGTAATCTTGTAAATTTTGTTTTGCTTTTATTGATGTTTCTGTTGTCGTTACTATGAATATTTAGCTTTGAGATCATTTACTCTATTATACTTCTAATAAGTATCAATAAATGTGCACCTACACTTACTTCAAAAGAAAAATATTGATCACTTGAGAATTGACAGAACAATTAAATTGTGTCTGTGTAAATTAAATGGCTTGATATTTACTCAAGATGCTATAATAACCCCCGGTGCTTTTGAGAATCTTCAGAGACATATCCCCAGAGGCAAATAACAATGAAAAATAACACTGCTACTTTAAACAAGGATTTTCTATTTGTCGCTGTGAGATGAAAGTACACTTATTGCAAGAGGTAAGATTTGGGCTTTAAGGAGTAAATCTGACTTACTGATTTCCATTTACCATTTGTAAGCAGGTTATAATTAAAGATGTGTCTGTGTCCACCGTGAGAAACAAGGAAAATGTAAAAAAGCAAATGTTTAGCTGAATTGAGTTTCCTCAGTCAATCTATTGTGAAAAAAAACCCAGATACTGCTATTTATCTTATTTCCTCATTTTTCCACTCACAAATCAAGAATCTCACATAGGTTTTATATTCTGTAAACTTAGCACTTTCAACTATAATGTTTATAAATT